CAGCGCCAGCACCAGCAGCAGCAGCTGCTGCTGCAGCAGCAGCAGCAGCTGCAGCAGCAGCAGCGGGAGGAGGCGGCGGAGGGGAGGAGGAGGGAGGGGGAGTGGAACTTGTTCATGTCTTCCAGGAGATTGGCGCAGTTCATCGGAACTCCCAAAAAGGCAAAAGCTGGAGACAAAGTCGTCTACGTCGACGGCTCCTTCGACGTCCTCCACGGTCTGTCCAGACACCCCACGGGCTGTACACACACCTCAGACTGTACAGACACCGCAGGGAGTGTACAGACACCGCGGGGAGTCTACAGACACCGCGGGGAGTCTACAGACACCGCGGGGAGTCTACAGACACCGCGGGGAGTGTACAAACACCGCAGGGAGTGTATAGACACCCCACGGGGTGTATAGACACCTCGGTGTATAGACACCTCAGAGTGTATAGACACCTCAGAGTGTGTAGACACCTCAGAGTGTATAGACACCTCGAGTGTACAGACACCCCACAAGGTCTACAGACACCTCAGGGAGTGTACAGACGCCTCAGTCGTATAGACGCCTCAAAGTGTATAGACACCCCACGGGGTGTATAGACACCTCAGGGTGTACAGACACCCCACAAAGTGTACAGACACCTCGAGTGTACAGACACCTCAGAGTTTGCGTAGACACCTCAGAGTGGACAGACACCCCACAAAGTGCATAGACACCTCAGGGTGTATAGACACCCCACGGGGTGTATATACACCGCACGGAGTGTACAGACACCGAAGAGTTTGTTTAGACACCCCACGGAGTGTATAGACACCTCTAGTGTACAGACACCCCACGGAGTGTATAGACACCTCGGAGTGTATAGACACCTCGGAGTGTATAGACACCTATAGACACCCCGCAGAGTGTATAGACACCCCACGGAGTGTATGGACACCTCAGAGTTTGTTTAGACACCCCACAGAGTGTACAGGCACCCCACAGAGTGTACAGACACCCCACACCCCACACTCATAGCCAGTGTACAGACACCTTAGACCCCCCAGAGCCACTGAGAGCCGGTGGGCAGAGGTGGAGATTGATTTGCTGCTGTTGCTGCTGCTGCTGCTGCAGTTGGCCACGTTCGAATTCTTAAACTTGCCAAGGAGATGGGGGACTATTTAATTGTTGGCGTGCACGGTGAGCTCATCTGCTGCTGCTGCTGCTGCTCGTTTGCTGCTGCTCACGCCATCTCATCTGCCGCAGCTCTTCTGCTGCTGCTGCTCAACTGCTGCTGCTGCTGTTTATCTGCTGCTGCTGCAGACGACGCCACAGTGGCTTCTGTAAAGGGCCCGGGCTTCCCGGTGATGAGCTTGAACGAGAGGGCCCTCAACGTTTTGGGTAAGCCACCAGAAGCAGCAGCAGCAGCAGCAACAGCAGCAGCAGCAGCAGCAGCGACAGCA